AGTGGGAGGGAGGGGGAGAGACAGAGAGAGAAACATTGATGTGAGAGAAACACATCGATTGGTTGCCTCCTGCACGCACCCCAACCAGGGCCTAACAATCAGCCTGCAATTGAGATGCATGCCCTTGACCTGGGAGCCAATTCTGGACTCTTCAGGCCTCAGGCGAATGCTCTGTCCACTGAGCCATACCAGCTAGGGCAGCGGTTCTCAACCTGTGGGTCGCGACCCCTTTCACAGGGGTCGCCTAAGACCATCCTGCATCTCAGATATTTACATGACGATTCATAACAGTAGCAACATTACAGTTATGAAGTAGCAACAAAAATAATTTTATGGTTGGTTCACAACATGAGGAACTGTATTTAAAGGGCCAGAGGTTGAGAACCACTGAGCTAGGACCTTCCTAAGGGTGTTGAGGGCGGAGGTGTTAGGGGAGGGCCCAGGGAAAGCTCTTATAGAATCTTCACAGCCCTCCAGGTGTGTGCGTTCAGGGTTGTGGTCTCCACTGAGGCCGGGAGGACATCATTCAGTGCCGCAGGCCCTGACGTCAGCAGTGGCTGGTTTTGCTGCTTTTCTGGGCCTGGAGCTGGAATACAACTGAGGCCTAAACGTTATCTCTAGGGAGGAGAGGTCAGGGGGTCCAAACCGCATGACCAGCCATATGCTAGGGGGAGAGGTCACCCGGGGGCGAGTCCCACCTACGATTGATTGTCCATTGCTAGGCGCCTGGTGGGTTAAGCTACTTACCCTTGCTCCTGAGGAATAATAGATCATTTACTGTGAAGTGTCCTTGGTTTGGGAAGATGGGATTTAGGCTGCAGGCTGCTGTTGAACTCTCAGTTTCCCTATTCTGCTTGTCCTGGCTTACTAGCCTGCACATTTATATAACTTCTTTCAAGATTTCTCTTTACCAACCTATAGCTTTCACTAACCTTCCTACAACTTTCACACACCTTTTTACCCATTCAGAAACAACCAGTTTTATTTTTTTTTTAAATTATATTTATTGATTTCAGAGAGGAAGGGAGAGGGAGAGATAGAAACATCCATGATGAGAGAGAATCATTGATTGGCTGCCTCGTGCACACCCCACACTAGGGATCGAGCCCGCAACCTGAGCATGTGCCCTTGACTGGAATCGAACCTGAGACCCTTGAGTCCACAAGCCAATGCTCTACCCACTGAGCCAACCCAGCTAGGGCAGAAACAACCAGTTTTACAACAATTCACTTTTTTCCCTTCAAAATATATTTCCACACCTTATACATTCTTTTACCAAAACCATACAATTCCTTTCCAATTTAATTAGAATTATTAACTCTTAGAAACCTCAATTTTCAATAACAAAAAAAGGCAAACAACCAGCATTCCTTAGATTGATTTTTATGAACATACTAGAGGCCCGATGCACGAAATTCATGCAAGAGTACGCCTTCCTTCCCCCGGCTGCCGGCACTGGCTTCCCTCTGGCCCTGGCTTCGTCCGGAATGATGTCCTGTCTAATTAGCATATTATGCTTTTATTATTATAGATTTTAAACATTCTGTTTTAAAAAACGTACCTTCAACAAAGCACAAGACATTACATCAACAGTCCCAAATTCATTTTACAGATTTTATGCAATAAAATGCCTAAAGCAGGTGACCCTAGCAGTCAATGACTTAACAGTTGAAATTAGCTCATTTGTTTGCTAAGGTTGCTAAGGTGGCTAAGGTTTGTTTTGTTTTTTCCTTTCAATAAGGATTTCCTCCCAAAAGTTGGTCTAGACCCGTGATTGGCAAACTGCGGCTCACGAGCCACATGCGGCTCTTTGGCCCCTTGAGTGTGACTCTTCCACAAAATACCACGTGCGGGCGCGCATGTACAGTGCGATTGAAATGTAATGTACCCCGCGAATCACAGAAGGACGCCTCAAGAAGTCGAATTAAAGAGTCACATTTATTGCAATCTGGGACTATGAGGGGCCATTCCCCAAATCTCATAGTAACAAGATGGTCGCAGCTCCAAGGTTATATAGGCAAAAAATCACAGAGGTATTGATTACATCCCAGGGTTTGGAATGAGGAACCTGGTTCGCAAAAACGCAGTTTACAGAAGCAGAATTAAGCATGTTAATTATAGTTTTGGGTCTGGGGTCAAACACATTATCTAGGGCCCTCGGGTCTGGAATGAGGAACCTGGTTTGCAAAAAGCAGTTTACAGAAGCAGAAACAGCATGTTATCTAAATTACAGTTTGGGGTCTAGAGCCCTCTGACCTGGGATAACTGTGCTGTCCTTCCCAGGTAAAGGAAAATGTGCTTTCTAAGACCAGTATGACCACAACCCATGGATATTCACATTACAATCAATAAGGCATTTAATCCAATGGGATGATTTATATAATTCAGAAAATCAAAATAACCTGTCCATTGTTAAACAAAGCAAATAGGTACATAAGCCAAACAGCAGGGTTAAAGTTAAACTATAATTTCTACCTGAGATGGTTGCTACCATACTTCAGAAACTTCATGGCCCATGCACAGAAGTCAGTATTTTGTGGAAGAGTCACACTCAAGGGGCCAAAGAGCCGCATGTGGCTCACAAGCCACAGTTTGCTGACCACTGGTCTAGACCAGAGTTTTTGCCAGGTGTTTTGCATTTCAAAGGTCCTAGGACTTGGGTTTCAATCCAAGTTACCGCTGTGGGTGATGTGACATTTGGGGATTAGGGCTGGGAGCATGTGCTCCAGTTAGATGGGGGTGAGATGCCCCTCCCCCGGCCCCTGCACTCAAGTGAGCAGCGAGTGGGGGTTCCGCTCCCAGGGAATGGCAGGTTCCTGAGTCCCAGGACAGGGACTCGGCATTCGGGACCAGGCTCTGATTCTGGATAAGGGCTTCTGCCACAGGGAGAAAGGAACTAAAATCACAGACAGCCCTTGGCCATAATCCACTACAGGTGTGCTGGGATGTCTGGGGCAGCCTGCTGCAAAGGTTGCTGTTTGTTTGGTGTGTCTTAATGGAGGTAAATTTGCTCGTAGTTGCTAGTTTGGGCTTGGCTAGAAGAGACTGGTTGCTCTGAGTTGGCATTTTACTGCATATGCTGTAGACCAGCGGTCGCCAACCAGTCATCCAAGGACCACCGGTGGCCCGTGAGGCCCGAAAGGTTGGCGACCGCCGCTGTAGACTACGAGCCTCGCATTTATTTGCGACCTCTCAGTTGACCATCGAGATGATTTTGTTGTTGCTGTTGAACAAGCTAACGTTCACTTCAAGCTTCTGCACAAATAGTGACCCTTGCTTCCTATCACCAACACCCTAAGCGCCTGGAGCATTCCACTGCGTAGAAAGTGGCATTGGGGCTTTGAAGTTGACACCTGGGTTCAAATCCCAGTTAGGCCATTATTTAGCTGTGTGTGACCTTGGGACCTTGACCTCAAGCTTCCTTTTCTATAAAATGAGGTCAGTAAAGTGAACGGTGTTGTGCTGCTATCATCACTATTATTATTAACTAGAGGCTCAGTGCATGAAATCCGTGCACTGGGGGGGGGGGATTCCTCAGCCTGGACTGCTCCCTCTCGCAGTCAGGGACCCCTCACTTGTTACCGTCCACCTGCTCACTGCTCCTTTCCACTTGGCTTGCTTCTCCTTGCCGCTGCTCCTTACCGCTTCCGCAGAGGCAGGAGAGGTTCCCGCCACCGCCGCTGCGCCAGCCATGAGCCCAGCTTGTGGCTGAGCGGCACTCCCCCTGTGGGAGCGTACTCACCACCAGGGGGCAGCTCCTGCGTTGAGAGTCTACCCCCTGGTGGTCAGTGCACAACATAGCGACTGGTCATTCTGCCGTTTGGTCAATTTGCATACTAGGGTTTTATTATATAGGATAGGATAGTCTACATCAGCGACACGTATCCTAGCTAATAACAGTGACGTCGTCTTGCTGCAGTGGTCGAATTTAACTGGAAAACATCCTTGTTGCTCCTGCTCTTCCTGGGCTCCAAGTGCCTGCCAAGCTCCCCGCCAGGTGGTAACAAGTGGGGGTATAGGCAGCTACTGAATAAATAATGATGTTAGCATCGAGAAGGCTCTGCAGTTTGGAACCTGAGCAGTGTACAGTGACTCAGTATTTCAGGACTGCCCATCATTGAAGAGCTGAGTTTCAGTGTGAAGCAGTGCTGATCACACTGATGGACTAATGGATGTTGAGTGTTTCTTCAGAGACACCCAGAGAAGCCGGAGGTGGACTCGGCCATGACAGAGAACGTGGTCCACGGTGGCATTTTCTGTCCCCGCCCCTGCTGCCAGAGGAGCTGGCGGGCGTGGAAGCAGAGGTGTTACAGCTGTGTGAACAGAGCTAAAGATGGCATAAAGTCCAGTCTTAATTGATGTTAGGGAATTAGTAACTTTAATATTTTAAAAAGTAAACAGTGTTAGTAAGCACAGTGTGGGGGAGCACAGAGCAATCCACATGATGTTGTTAGCGGTGGGGATGAGGCTGCAAATCCTGGCCTCTGGTTAATAGTAACAGTGACGATCGCAGCATAACACCATTCACTTCACCGTGGATGAGGTTGCAAATCCATGAGGCAGAAAAGTGCTCCAAGCAGGCACCACAGTCTAATAAGTGACCCCAGGTTCAGTGGATCCTGATGAGGAGCAGCTCGCTTCCTCCAGGGCCGACCCCAGCTGTGTTCACAGACATTCTCCTGCTTCCACTACTGCTGTGGGGATTCCTAGCCTAGTCTCTAGGTGAGGCAGGAGGACTGCCTGTCTGGTTCACGTGGAGAGGGGGGGGTGCTGGTAGCTTCCTTCATCCTCCAGGTAGAGAGGAGAGCAGGGACCAGCCGTGCGTGCTGTCACCTGGCATGACGCTCCGGATCCTGGGTTACATGTGGAGGATCTTTCACTCCTGACACTTGAGGGTTTGAGCAGCAGTAGGAGTCGTGGGTTCAAGTCTAAACGACGAGGCAGGTTCTGCGTAGCATCTCAGTGGTGTCTCTGGCATTTTCATTGCAGGCCTGAGTGGCCACCAGTGGGCGTGCAGCGTCTGGAGCAGTGACGCTGTTTCCCGGGAAGTAGGATGAGGCAGACACGGGGATCGTGTGAGATGTTCATCACCATTAGGCTCTTCCCAGCCCAGAAAGCCGCTCTGTCTGACTTCCCACAGAGAAGTGGAGCTGATCGGGAAGCAGAGGTGGTTAAGGGGTGACAGCGAGGCATCCGAGGGAGTCCGCTCACTTCCCGCGGGCGTCCTGTCTCCCGGGGTTAGGGCGTGAGGTGCAGAGCGAGCCGGCTCCCCGGCTCCCTGGTCCTTCTCGCTTGGAGGTGCCGGTGGCTGTGGCATCTTGGCACCTGCTTTCTGTGCAGAGTGCAGTCAGCTTGTGTGCTCCTCTTTGGGGGCCACGCACGGTGGTTTAGAGAATCAGCTTTTGGTTCTATGATTTTCTTCTATGGGTTTTCTGTTTTCAGTATTATTAATATTTACGGCTCTTAATGTTTTCTTTTAGTATTTTTTATTGAGTTTAGAGGGAGAGAGAGAAATATTGATGTGAGAAACATCGATCACCTGCCTCCTGCATGTCCCCTACTGGGGATCGAACCTGAAACCAGACATGTGCCCTGACCTGGAATCAAACCAGTGACCTTTAGGTGCCTGGGACAACACTCAACAGCCAGGGCTGCTGTCTAAGTGGTACAGTATAATGAATCCCCATGCAGCCCGCTTGTTCAGTCATTTGGTTGTCCCTCACTAGCGCCCCCTGCCAGCCTGGTTGTAGGCAGCCATCTTTGTGAGGGTGTGATGGTCAATTTGCATATTACCTCTTTATTATATAGGATTATATTTTCCATACAAACAACTCTAAACCTACTTTTGCCCTACCCTTGATCCCCAGTATATAAGAGCAATATTATTACCAGAAATTCCACATATTAGAGACTATAAGGCATCATCATGCTAACAACTAGGAAAATGAGTACTGGTAGGCCAGCCAGTGTGGCTCAGTGGTTGTGCATCGACCCGTGAACCAGGAGGTCATGGTTAAATTCCCAATCAGGACACATGCCCAGATTGTGGGCTTGATCCCAGTGGGGGCATGCAGGAGGTAGCCGATCCATGATTCTCTCTTATTGATGTTTCTACTCTCTATCCTCTCCCTTCCTCTCTGAAATAAATGAAAATCCTATATAAAAAGAGCTAATATGCACATGGTCCTCACGCCAGGGCCAGGGGACCTGAGGCCACGCCCCCTGTGTTGGAGCTGGGGGATCTGAGGCTGCACCCTCCCACCCTGCAGGGCTTGACGGGGGTGGGGCCGGCCAGGTCTGGGTCTCACGCGATTTTGAGGTGCGCAGGGGTTGGTGGGGACTTGACTCTGGGTCCCACGGCCCACCCCAGACTCTGACAGGAGGGAGATTTTTATATACATTTTACTAATTTTCTTTCATCTCTGACACTTCTATTATAGAGAAAGGGCAAATAGCAATATTAAAATATTTCCTCTAATTCCCTTTTAATGTGCACGAATTTCATGCACCGGGCCACTAGTATATTTATAAAGAAAGAATTAGGGCCCTAGCTGATTTGGCTCAGTGAATAGAGCATCAGCCTGCGGACTCAAGAGTCCTGGGTTCGATTCTGGTCAGGGCACATTCCCAGGTTGCAGGCTCGATCCCCAGTAAGGGGGCATGCAGGAGGCAGCCGATCCATGATTCTCTCTCATCATTGATGTTTCTACTCTCTCTCCCTCTCTCTTCCTCTCTGAAGTCAATAAAAATATATTTATAAAGAAAGAAAGAAAGACTCAGGGCCGTGAGGCCGGTGGTTCCCGCACTGAAGCGAGCTCCTCGCTGGGATGGCGCAGAGCAGTGCCGGCCGAGGCGGGAGTGGCTGTTCTAACGCAGGTCTTCTCTTCCTCAGTCAGGGCAGTTCAGCGAGGACATGATCCCCACCGTGGGCTTCAACATGAGGAAGGTGACCAAAGGCAACGTCACCATAAAGGTACGTGCCCCCTGCCCCTCCATTCAGGTCAGCAGCAGGTGCAGCCAGGGAGTTCCTGTTGGTTGACTTTTTACGTGAGTGTTTGCAGTTCTGAACTGACGAGCGGCCTGTGCCCGGGGTGAAGAATGTCCTTTCTCGTTCTAAGAGCTGCAGGGTGAGTGCCCGCAGAGCACCGGCAGCGCTGGCAGAGCCGCTATTGGGGTGTGGGTGGTGCTGGGAATAAACACTCCTCTTCAGAGGATGTGGAACATGGTATCAGTTCTTTCCTGAACAGTTGTATGTAGAAAATGATCCTCTCTTATAATATTGGTAATTTAGTATATTTGGGGCAGCAGATATGGTAACCGGTTTTCCCTTTCTTTACTTCTAAGACTTAAAATTGAAACTATAAAAATGGAAAAGTTTACTAATTTAACATAATTTTGTTATTAGAATAAGCTTGAATCCTGAACTGTGGGCTGTTTATGAGGGGCCATGTTTTAGTTTGGCGTTTGGTTTGGTTGGTTCAGTGGCTCATGGGAGTTGGCTCCTATGGCCTGGCCCTTGTGGCCATTTCCCCAGTTCGTGGGCTCACGGAAGCTGGTCACTCCGCTCCTTGTGTAGCTCATCTGAGGCAGCTCCTCGCTGCTCGTGCAGATGCTCTTCATGGTGTTACCAGGGCCTGCAGCTAAGCTGGAAGGCTTTTGAGGATAAATACCATAACGAGCGCCCCTATGTCGCCCATCATCTGGAATAGTAGGCCTAATAATGGCATTATTGGGGGTGGGCTTTCATATGGTAAAATTAACGTATGTAAGAAAAACACCTAGGTAGGAATGTTGCCTATGTTATTTACAGAATTATTAAAAACAATTAGGCATTCATGTATATACCCAGTCAGACAGTTAAACATTCATAGATTCTGCATGAACCGTTTCTGTCTTGGCATTCAAATCTGGATGATACGTGATTCTGGAGATTCTAAAAGTGTTGTGTCAAAGGTATATACAGTATATGCATATATCTTATCTGCTGCTTCAGCTACCCACTGTCAATCACTGATAATATTAATGGGAAATTCCAGAAATAAACAATTCATAAGCTTCAATTTGTGCCACCCACTCTGTCCCACGCGGGTCACAAATTGTTCCTTTGTCTGGCATATCCACACTATATGCGCTACCTCCCCTTCAGTCACTTATAATTGTTACAGTTGTTCTGTTTTATTATCAGTTATTGTTGTTCATCTGACTGTGCCTGAATTACAAATTACAGTCAGCACAGGCATGTACATATGGGAAAAACAAAGAGTTCGATACTATCCGTGGTTTCAGGCATCCACTGGGGGTCTCAGAACATATTCCCTGCAGATATGGGAGGACTACTCTATTTTCAGTATTGGAACTTTATTGGTAAACAGGCAAAACAATCATTGCATAGAAAACTAAATCTTTGCTCAGCAGAACTTGTTAGGTTTAGTGTGACATTTTAAATGTGAACTTCAAGTTTACAAGGGGCCCCAGGAACTTGAATTAAGAGCTTGCTTGAGCTCAGGTTTTTCAGAGGCTGTGGCTCGTTGTGAAAATGAGCGTGTCTGCCCGGTCTTTCTCCTCCCGCGCACACGTGATCTGAAGTGTGGTGTTGAGAGTGTCTGTCTTGCTTGCAGATCTGGGACATAGGCGGGCAGCCGCGGTTCCGGAGCATGTGGGAGCGGTACTGCAGAGGCGTCAATGCCATCGTGTAAGCCGCTTCGAAAAGCCCATTTAGGGGGCGGGGGCGGGGTGAGGGGTCAATGGGGGGGAAAGGGGAACAAGTCAATTTAGGTTTCAAGGAAAAGTGATGTTTTTAATACTACTTCCCAAGCCTCCGTTTTTATTTTCAGTAGTAATAGTCGTTCTTAGAAGTTTCTTAGGGTAATTCATTAACATGAGACTTTAAAATACCTAATCATAGAATGAGAGTCTTATGTTTTTGTTTATGCATCTCTGCGCTAAGGAATATAATTCTGTTACTATCATGTATTAACTCCTAAGACGGTCTATTTAAAAGTATTTTGGGGTGCTGAGCTTTTTATCTAGGGTTTTATTTTTTTCCCCATCACCATGTATCCCCCTGTACCAGCCGTGGGCAAACTACGGCCCATTTGAAATGAATAAAACTAAAAAAAAAAAAGACCGTACCCTTTTATGTAATGATGTTTATTTGAATTTATATTAGTTCACACAAACACTCCATCCATGCTTTTGTTCCGGCCCTCCGGTCCAGTTTAAGAACCCATTGTGGCCCTCGAGTCAAAAAGTTTGCCCACCCCTGCCCTATACCCTTTCCCATCTCTCCCCATCCCCCCTCAGGGCTTTATTTTGATGAGCAGTTTCAATAGTGTAAATGTTAACAGTAAAAATCTGTATGTAAATTGTGACCATCAGAGAATATGACATATTGAGATCACTGTGTGTTTTAAGTTACATGATAGATGCTGCAGATCGAGAAAAGATAGAAGCCTCCCGCAACGAACTCCATAATCTTCTAGATAAGCCACAGCTGCAGGGAATTCCAGTGAGTATGACGCCTGCTGTCATCCCTTCGCTGCTGTACGCTAAGGTTCATTACGGGCGAGGGCAGCGCCGTGCCGTCTGTTCAAGTCGGAGCTTACGCTGCCTGAGCGCCTGCCGTGTCCTGGGCGCTGTGCCGTTTCTTCTCCTCCCTGGTCCTTTATTGAAACCCTGTGCAGCTGGAGCCACCTCAGCCCTGAAATGATCACATGGTTTAGATCCTTCTGGCTTCAGTTTAAGAACAGGTTGAGGTGGCAGGAGGGGCCATAGGAGCAGCGGTGGGAAGCGGTGGAGGTTGTCCTGGCAAATGGCTGTGCGGAGAGGGAGGTGGCCGTGGACTAGGAGGGAAGGTGTGGGGGCCTCCCTGCTTCCTGGCCGAGGCCGTTGGTGGAGGTGCCGCCCTCGGGTGAACGAGGGAGTGTTGGCAGAGGACCAGCTGCAGCCTCACGCGGGTCCGTGGGTGTCAGACTCGAGGTGTAGCACCTGAGTTGCGCTCACAGCCACTGCGCGTGGTGTGACCCTCCCTAAATGCGCTGGTTAGCGCCCAGGTTGCGTGGCCGCTGGCATGTCGCACGGCCAGGTTTTGAATCCGTGTCTGTCGGCCTTTGAAGCTGCCCTTTTCCTCCCACAGCAGAAGCCAGGTGTACACGCCTGAGTCAAGTCGTCCTCCCTCGGCCCCGGGCGGCTCCCAGTTACCCGAGCAGGAGGCCGCTGCCCTTCCCGTAGCCTGGGCCGCCCTCCCTGCTTTCTGCCTCTGGCTCTGCGGTCGGGTCTGGGCTGCCCTTGGCCATGGGTCCCTGCTCTAGCAGAGAGGAATGCTGGGAAGGAAATGTACAGAAGCAGCAGCTTTATTGGGGGGGGGGGGGGGGCGGGTTCAAAAGGTGGGAGAGCTCCTAAATGTAGGAAGGGGGCGAAGACCAGGCAACCCCAGAACCGACGGCTGGTCACAGATGCCCGTGTCGCAGCATTAGAGAGACAGGCAGGTCCAGCGTGAGAGCCTGGAGGACTTCAACGGGGGTGAGGAGGGGGAGAGCCTGGAGGACTTAAACGGGAGTGAGGAGGGGGGAGAGCCGGGAAGGGAAGGCGGCTGACCAAGCGCCCTTTGTTAGCACGTGCCAGAAGGGAGAAGGGAGGGGGGGTGGGAAGCCTGTCTCTGCCCTTTCCCTCTTTCCAGAGCAGTTTGCTCCCGGAGCGGCCTCAGCGTGTTCATCCCGCCCCCCAGACTTACCCATCGTCTCGGCATATCCACACGAGATACTCTATAGGCTGGGTCCTGAATTTTAAAAGCTTACTTACACGTTCACAGAATTAGTAGCTTACAGATAAAAAATGGTTAGAAATTGCTCCTCCGCTCTTGGTGGTTGAGATCACGTTTTGGCAAAGATTTGTTAAGAAGCAGCAGGAGGCACACGTACAGACGGCACCGTTTAGGTAGAAGTTGGCAGCCACATGCGGGTAAAGGCCTCTGCGTGGTGGGAGTAAAATTCATGCGATTTGAGTGATGAGCTGAGTGAGCGAGGCCGCCGGTTACACAGAAGGCGTTCCTCTACGGCGGTGGTCACATTCTCATTGCACCCACACAGATGGCATTTCCTGTCCCGTTCACCCAGAATCTCCTTTCTTTTAAAGGTGCTGGTCCTCGGAAACAAGAGAGACCTTCCTAACGCCTTGGACGAGAAACAGCTCATTGAGAAAATGTATGTCAGGCGTGAGTGGGGGCGGGTGGTAATTGTTGTAAGTTGTTCCATCCGTTCGCCCACCTTTGTGTGGCTTTGCTGCACCACTCAGTGTGGCCTAGCTGTGGCCAAGGAGAGACACTGGCCACAGAGAGTGTCCCTGTAGTGATTCTTCAGCTCAGTGACAAACAAAGACAAGTAGAACGGAGCGGAGCGATAAGTGTGACAGCTGTTTAAGTACAGACTTACTCTTAATTCTGCTTCTTACAGGAACCTGTCTGCTATTCAGGATAGAGAAATTTGCTGCTATTCAATTTCTTGCAAAGAAAAGGATAATATAGGTAAGAAGGGGCGGGTGTTTCTGGAAGAAAGGGTTACCCCGGAAGGGGCATCTAATGGTATTTCTGTTGACTGTCCCCTTCTGTGTAAGTGGCCTCTTTACACAGTGCTGTGGCTGTGGCTCAGGAAGAGAGTGGGCGCCATCCCCGCGGGGGTCCACTAGTGGTAACTTTGGCAGAACCCGCACCCAGCTGTGCCCTGTAGCAAAATGGCTCCTGGAAATAAGACTTCACAGGAACGGGTCCTAAACCTGTTTCCACTGAGGGGCCAGCCTAACTGCCCTGTTCCCGCTGCTGGAGGGATGACCCCCAATACCCTTTCCCACTTCAAGTCTGTCCTGCTTTCCTAGGCCCGCCACATCCCAGTCCCACGCCCTGGGTGGCTGGGAACAAGTTTACTCTTTCAATTCAGGAGGCTGGATGCCCGAAACCCAGTAGGGGGCGTGCGGGAGGCAGCCCATCAGTGGTTCTCATGCTTCTCGTTTACAGCCTGGCCTTGCTGCGGCTCCGTGGCTCTCCTGTCCCCATGGACAGCTCTGTGCTGGCGTCCTCCTGCTGCTATTGTTGATCTTACTGAATAAACTGCCTCCGTTTCCCTGCTTAAGATCTCCAATACCTTGCTGTAGCCTTGAGAGTAAATCCCACATTTCTTGGTGCCTTAGAACGGCATTCAAGGCCGCCTGGCTCCCTTTAGCCCTGTGGTTCTCAGCTGAGGCCGGTTTTGCTCCCCGGGACACATGTGGCAGTGCTTGGCGATACTATTGGTTGTCACAGCCGAGGGGGTGGGGGTAATGCATTTAGTGGTAAAGGTCATGGATGTTGCAAAATACCCCACCGTGCCCAGCAGAATCTTCTCCCTTCCTCCCGGCAAAGGGGGAGGGGGAGGACCCAGCCCAGATGCAAAAGGGGGAGGGGGAGAACTA